AAAATCAAATAAATGTCTTATCAAAAAAAAAATATAAATAGAGAAGAAATTCTGGAAGCTATGGAGTTTTTCAGATGCTTTCTAGCCATAACTTTCCTGTGCTTGGTTTCCGCCGGAATACGATCGGAAGAGCAGCGTGAGAAAGAAGTACCAGTGCAAAGCGAGTGCAATATAAATGAAAAAGATGACGAAGAACTTTCCATTGAGACAATATTGGAGGTAATAGAGGGTCATATACGTAAGAGTTATCAGGTACTATGGGATATCTATGAATTGTGTGAGCGTTTGAAGCTTTATCCCGAAGACAGTACAACGGAAGAGCCCACGAATGATGTATTAGACTATTACAAGACAGCTTGGCTTACATTGGAAGCAGGTTATTTGCAGGCTCATGCTATAGGAGGTAATAAATCTGGGACAGGAGTGCTAACAAACACTCAACAAACAACATATCGAATGGTGATTGAGTTTGAAACAACAATGCTGTTTTTCGAGAAACATGTATTTTACCTCCTTGGTGATCTGCGCGATATTGCCAATAAAGAGAAGAATAGAACCGAAGTAAAGAAGATTGACTTGCTTAGGGCTGAAAGTCACAAGATGTATCAGATGTACGATGAGTCTAATATTTCTAAACGTCTTGATGAAGAAAATATTGGGCAAAAATGTGAGGAGTGGATTTAATTTCTAGGAACGATTGATGAGAAAATGAATGGATTTTCTACCGCAGAGTGTGTGAGCATATTGGAGGATATATTTTATGTATATGAGAAATTGTATTGTAAAGTGGAATTTGATTGTTCATAACGTATATTAGAAGAGTCGTACAAACATTCTACAAATTCTAATGTTCATCCAACCGAAGATGAGACATTAACACCGAATCCTGAACCACTCAAAGAGCATACTTCTGGCACGCCATCAATGATCTAAGTGGATGAAATAAAATCAAGTTAAATACCATGTTTAGTATTCATTCATTTCTTATGTTCATTCTTAATTGTGCATTATATTGCATCCTTGCTCTGTTCATCAACATTTACAATAACATAAAATTGTACAATCAGTATTAGGTCCGACAGCGCTACTAGACAAAAATTACCGATCAAGCCTACAAACATCTCTAACACCCACCACTATCGATGCGCACAAAACAATTGGTGCATTATATGCGTTATAGGAAGGTGTTTCGTTTGTTATTGATGCTGTAATACTTGTTGTTGAGATGTGGCATAAGGAGTGCTAAATTGGCACGGTTACAAATTCGTAATTTTGACAATAAGTACTGCTGTGATATGCACTAGTATAGATACAACAATTGTAAATATTTGGCCCCTTCGGTTGTGTTTCTTATCACCTTTGTATTGAGCTAAAATATTTCGAAATTGTTATATGTTCTATTCAGAGATAACACAGGGGGTTCAGATAAATGTATTTTAAGGAATGTTTCATCATAAACACGCATATTGACAATAACTTGTTTTTGAAGAAACCAGCTGCGCTATCCCGTTTTTCGAAAACGGGTGCATGAATGGATAGTATACCAAAATAGTGCTTTTGAATACAACTGTAACACTAGATCATTCCTTTCTACCAACTGTTTTGTGGTTACAAATCAATAAATTTACTTTCATTGCAGTAGTTCATTGTATACAACATTTCTAGTGTATATTTTACCATTCTCATGCTTTCCTTGGTCTCCATTGTCAGCAACATACACCCCTAGACCGTTTGCATAGCGCACTCTCGACAGAGCTACGTATAACTGAACATGCACAAAGACTGGGCTGTGCAGATAAACACCTACCTTGTCAAATGACTGACCCTGTGACTTGTGGATTGTCATCGAAAACGAAAGAAGAACCGGAAACTGTCTTCTCTTGAGTATGAATGGCAGCTGTGTTTCGCTGAATATCATCGCGATCTCGCCCGTTGTAGGAACATTGTACCTGTTCATGTCACGATGAATGCTCTTGTTGAACACCGTATTTACCATCAACATATTTCTTTCACGTACTGCACTTCTCTCAACTTCAGCAAGATTTTGCATACGGATTGACTTCTCTTATTGTCCTGTCAAGATTGTGTAGTATTGCTTTGTCACACTTCTCGTTTGTAGGGTTTCTCGATCTCAGATCTGTGGCATCATTCGTATCAATCACATACAACTGCGAGTACCTCCTGTTAGTGTTTTCGAGCGGGTTTATGTTGTATGTGTTGTGATAGACCTGACCATGCACCTTGAAGAAGTACACCCCTCGTGTGAATTGCTCCACATGTGCACCCATTGACGAAAACGACAGGGCACTGTTATACGATCGTATGTTTGCCTTGAAGTTTTTATGATCGCTGCTTGCTGTATCGGTGAACAGCGATCTGAGATACTCTGGATAGCTATCTCGTGGTATGTAGGCCAGCTTGCCGAAGTGACAGCAGCTCTTGTACATACGTCTACGGTGTGCCTCGTCTTTAAAGTGCATTGCCGAGCAATTTGCACAGATCTGGTTGAGCTCACCAGCATAGTGCTCGGCTGTTTCACTTTGTACGTGATAGCCGTTGCTATCAGTACTCTCATCAGATCCATCACCACCGGCAAGACGATCATCTGATGACTCATCATCGTGATGAGATTTGTCACTACACTCACTCATGGAAATGATACTGTCCTTATGATTTAACAAACCATCTTTTGTATTACCATGGTTTTGGTTGTTTGCCAAACCATTGGTATCTAGGTTATTATTTTTTTCAAGCTTCAGCTTTTCTTGCTCCATTGCCAACTTGTATTTGGAAATCAACTTCTGAAGATTACTGCATTTCTTTTGACTCCTCGACATCCTTTTTAATTGACATTATTTTTTCGCCACTATCCATTTTGTCAAGCTAAGTCTCCATAATAAATTTTTGCAGCCTTGTAAACGGCTTAGCAAATGGTTTAACAACAGCTTCCTTGATGGAAGAAGATGGTTTATCAGACGAATTATAATTTTTAAAAGTGTGTGTAAACTTTCGGCTTTCACCTCGGCTACGCCACTTGGTGTGCCCGTTTACTTTTTTTGTTTTTTATTATTTTTATTTTTTACTATTTTTTTGGTTTTATACTTTT